TCTTCTAGCTGACATTCAGACAACACCAGGAAGGCCAGAGGGACACTTACATTTAATTGAAAAATATAATTGCCATTGTTTATTATTGTCATACATGTGAAAAATCAACATGGTGTTCATAAAGGAACATATGAAATTAGTTGTCAAGGAAGACCATGAAAGAAAATAACATAAGTGAGTTTAACAGGTAGCAAGACATTTTATGGGGAAGAGAGAGAGAGAGAACTGAAGGTACATTGAAAAAGGAGAAGAGAAAAGGGATTACAGAATAGAATAAATAGTATGTTGGACCAAATGGCCTTTTGTTGTCCAGTAGTTCCTTCTGTCCTCCACATCTGCATGTGAGCCTTTACAGTGAATCACAATATCACTGAAATAAAATGATATATGGGTCAAAGAAAGATGTTTCAGATGTTTTCAGGAATTCAGGTATCTGCACATTTCAGTTTCCCCAAGCTCATAAACAAGGTGAACAATTTCTTATCTTCTGGGTTATTAGTCAGTGAAATACTGTTGTTAACAAAATGTTCAAACATTTGTGAGCAAGAGTTAACAAAAAGCATCAAACTACACCTATGGGTTGCACACTTACACCCCTCAAAAATGTTTGAATGCTTTCATTTCCGTACCATAAATTTCTTCTCCCTCCCCACATCTATTAATTTTTGCATGAGTTTAATGCTCATGAAATTTCTTACAGTCTAGGATAGCATCCGGAAATATTAAAGAAAAATAATTTAGAACTGTCATATTCATTTATCTCAGTCCCCATATGAGGAAGTCAAAGAGTCTAGCTTTTATTTATTGCTATTTCAAGTTTATTTTGGTATTACTCTTATGAAATCATCACACATTAAAGAGTGGTGAATACAGAAGTACAAAACGGGGCATTAAACAGCAATAAGAATCAGATCTACTGAAGGAGGAGAATATCATGCAATCTTCTTTGTATTACTTAGTAGAAACCAATGTTGACAAGCTAAAGCTAGAACTATGTTGTCAGGAAGCCACTAAGGAATACAAATGTAGTGTCTCAAGCCCTTGTCCCCCAGCAAAGGCTATTTGTTACACTACTGAGTGAGCCTTCCTAGCCTACGAAAGCTGTAAGGAGATGTGGATTTGATTTTTTTTTTGTGGTAACTTTGAAGATGAACATTTGATATTTTTGATACTCAGAATCTCTTTAATATCATCAGTCTTTACTATTCAATAGTGCAAAGGGCCTCTCTCCAGGGGAGAAAAAAAAAAGGTTTCTAAAACCTCAGTTGAAAGATGCTGAAGGTTCTTCCTGACACATTCAGATACCTGACTACTTTTTTTTGTTAGCCTTCCTTCTCTAATGGGATTATATCATTTCAAGCTACTCCAGTTGCTATTGTACTGCGTAGTATTACAGGCCTTAAACAGTTGAGAGAGAAAACACTAGCAAATTATGACAGGGAAAGAATCATCCCAGGTTATTTCCAGAAAGGATCTTTAGAACTTCATCACAAAGATCAGCAACATGACCTGCTTCTCCATCCTCTTTTTGAAGACTGCACATATCACAGATTAGCACTGGATGGTCAAACGGCCAAGGACTGCAAGAAGATGCCAAGATATCACATTTCTGAAATTATCCCAATGACTTTAAAGATACAGGGCAGACAGATATCTCTGATAAGGATAGAAATCAATCCACGGTTTATTTCACTTGTGTCCTCAGTGACCTTATGAAAGGTATAACCTCAAATATTTAGTTTGTAAACTCTTTGGGGGCAGGGGCTGTCTTTATTTTAGTTTTGTATACAAATAGTACAATGTGCTTCTGGGTTCAACAGTAATATAGACAATCGGCCAACATGCTGATGTTTAAGAAGAAGGTTTTACAGAACATAATGGGCCTTGATTCGGCCATCCTTACCTACATAAGCCACCACAGTAAGGTACTACTCAACATGAGTAAGCATGACAAAGTTGGGCCCTACATAAATTATAATATTTTCATTAAAGTTTCAGTGACAACAGACTTATTATGATTTACTTTGAACATTTCCCACAAGTGTTGGAACACTGAAGTTCAAACGTGAAACTGATGACAAAACAAAAGTGAAACTCAATCAAGTATAATTGTCCAAAGTGATTGAAATGTGAAAAGGAAACAAACCAAAGAAGTGCATTAGCTGTAGTTTAAAAACCCCTTAAGATTACTACAACTAATACATTAACAGCAACACCAGAACATTTAGAAAAATAGTGGGTCAGATCCATAGTTGGTGTAAATCACTGTAACATCATTGAAGTCAATGGAGCTATGCCAATTTACACCAGCTGAGAACCTGGCCCATCAATTTCACACAGACAGTGCTCCTTTTCTTCTACTTCCTAGGCCTCACTCCTGAATGACATCTGCTTGCCTGACTCCTGCAGAGCCCATTGACTCCCAGGGCTCCACTCGAGCAATTACCAAAGTGGTGGTGGCACCAGAGGGCTGGGCACATTGATTTGCAGAATAAATGTAGCATACAGAGCTGGTTAGGAAAGGGTATTTGTTCCCATTAAAATTTTTGACAAATACAAAAACATTTTTATTTTCACTGAAGTTTTTTCCTTCAAAAGTTTGAGTTCGACAAAAGCCCAGCAATTTCATCTAAAGCAGAGATTTCCCATGGAAGTTTCCATTAAGACAAAAAAGTCAGTTTTCTTAGGAAAAAAGATCTTGAATGAAAAAGGTTGACCAGCTGTAACAGCAGATTCCGAGTGTAGGGAAACGAGATCCTGAAGGCTAAAGGCTGTACAGAGGGATAAGGTTCAGTGGTTCCCATGTTGTAGGGGCTTTTAGCAGAGAGCACAGTGTTTATTAGAACTCCACTCAGTCTGTCTGAACATGATCTCAGGCAAACCAAACAGATCACTGATGAACATGATTCCTCTACTCTTTCCAGCTTTAAAACGGTGAGCAATCAGGCAAGTAGTACCATTAAAGTCAATAGCACCATATATTTGAGTAAGAATTCCTTGCATTACTATGGGTTGGAGGAGCACACCATAGCTTATGCAGAACCAAAAGAGTTCATAGCCAAAGGAACACTATTCTATTATGGTACTACCTTTTTGCTACCCTACAGAGTCAAATACCTGCTGCTGCTCTGACGAAGTATTTCATTGTTTGTGCTGGTTTAATTTTTAATTGTTTTCTGCACTAAAAATATTACAAAGTATTTGAAGTTCATTACATAGACTTTGAAGGAAGAAAACTGAAAATAAATCCTTTCTTAATAGGAAGAGATGAAGTGGTTTTTTTTTTGTTTTGGATTAATAACAATGTAATAAAAGCCACTAAAAGAAGTGGAATACGGTATACTGTAGGTAAGTAAAGTTTACTCAAAGATTTAGCACAATCACTGTTGTCTTTTTATGGGTTCAAGGCATTGGCTACTGACAAGTTAAATAATTTAACTCTGCAGACTAGTGCTCTGCTGACTGGTCCCGCTAAATACATATCGCACACCTCAGACCATGATGAGTGCTTGATAAGATTTTCTGACATGCTATACCATTAAACCAAGCGTCCTGAAGGTTTATCTGTCAAGACATATTTACAGTAAAACTTAAGCTTTTAGAAATTACAGTATTATATTGAATCAAGCATCTTCAAAACACCAGGGATTTCCAGCAGAACTACCAACATCAGAAAGCTACGATTATCATACAATCTCCAATTTCAGCTGCTTAACCTTTAAAAAAATCTGATCTACTAATCTTCTAGCCAAGCAAGTAGCTATTTTCAAGCCTTTCATAAGAAAGGAATATTTCATCTCTTAAGGCCATATCTATGTATTGCCTTTCAGAGCTGCAAATGCCACAGCAACCACCAGGTAGAGGACTCTTCTTTTGTAACGTGTAGGTAAGAAACAGCCCAACGGATTTTTTTCTTTTGCAGACGTGTATTTTATTTTTGTTTTATTTATAAATCTGGAGGAACTCGCTGTGGCTATAAAGAAATCTTGTGACATGAAATGAATATCAAACAGTAGGGAGCCAGAGGGGGTTATTGCTGCTGTTTTGACTGTTGACTGCATGTTTTCAGGAAAAGGGTCCAAACTGGCATTTTCAGACTCTTGTGCTGTCTGTTACATGACAGCTGAGATGCACAGAGCTACTTATTTAAAAAATTGTATGTTACATGCGCCCATCATTATCTGCATTGATTGCGGCCGGGCACCCAGATGGAGAGGGAAGAAAATTACTCATTAGATTGGAGGAAGGGAAAAAACAGACACACAGTGCAACTGTATTGCCTTTGTTAAGCCTTTCATTCAGGGGACATTAGGGAATATTGTTACATCTGTTCAAAGACCTTTACAATAATTGATACTGTTTTGGTAAGACAAAGAAAGCTGCTCTGGCCAAGAGGAAATTAATAGAGTATTGAATGCCTACATTCTTGGAATGTACATAGCTGATTCAACCTAGGTAGTCAGAAACATGGAGAATATGCATAGTATACACACAGCACACAAAGCAAAATGCTTCATATCATGGAAGTGACTGGCATTGTGCTGGTACAGAGCACTGTACATATAAATGCAAGGTAAAAAGTGATGAGCAAGACAGGGAGTGCAATGATGAGCGTTTTGCTGCATGGCCACCAAGTTATTCCCCTGTTACAGGGCAGGAGTGTAATAAAAGAGAATCATATTCTCAGCTGGTATAAATTGATGTAGCTCCACGGAAAGGAATGAGTCACTGATTTACAACAGGGCCCTCCATTTGCAAGCTGACACTCACATGTAAGCCCCTGTCTCTTCAGGCACACCCTCCCCGTTTTTTACCCTGTGCTCTTAGAGGGAGGAAATGGGTGTGCCAGGACCTTGGGGCATATTTCTGCTCAGCCCTGAAAACTGCCCACTGGAAGGGATTTGGTTTTTTTTTAAAACACACACTTCAGTGGGTGCAGGATCAGGCCCTAGCACTTTAGTTTAATTGCACCCAAACAAACAGCTTCCATTCACACTTACCCTGGAGTGCAACCACCTTGCTCTGCCTCCTCCATATGATACAATGATTCCCAGGATCAAAGCCTTGGTGGATTGCTGTTAAAATCCCATCTATTTTAGAAGAAAACAAAAATGATTTGAACTGAAAAAATTCTCAGTTATACTAGAAACATCAAGGTCTTTATTAGAATAAACATTTAGCTTCCAGGTGTAAATCAGCACTATTTCCAAAATATTCCTCCTCTACTGAGATTTTAATATGCTATATACTGTAGTACTTTCTATCCCAGGGCCTGGTAAATACTGAGGTTGAATTCAATGAAGCTGTACATGATCCTCAATACTAAATGATTCAGCTTCAGGGTTGGCCAGCTTCTAAAGGCTGTGGTAGACTAATGATCTCTGAAGACTGTTTATGATACGGGTGAACTCATGGTTTATTGTTGTTAACCCACTGACTTAGTGGCACTGCAGAAATAAAAGGGATTCTATTATACCTTTTAATGAAGACTTCTCAGAGCATCTGAGAGCTCAAATGAGACTAGATTAGAGCACCTGAAAGAGAAGGCAGCCAATTATAGGGGGGATTTTTAAGCAGAGATTTTCACTAATAAAATTAAAGTTTTAAGGTTTCACTTCAGTACAAAGAGAAGATGCCAATAAGACACCTTTCCCCATTGGGCTAGATCAGGGATTGGCAACCTTTGGCACGCGGCCCATCAGGGAAATCCGCTGGTTTGGCCGATCACAGGTCCCACTGTTCACCATTCCAGGCCAATGGGGGCTGCGGGAAGCGGCGTGGGCCAAGGGATGTGCTGGCCACCACTTCCCGCATCCCCCAATGGCCTGGAATGGTGAACTGGGGCCAGTGGGAGCTGCAATCAGTCGAACTTGCACTTGTCAAGTGGAGTGCCCCAGGGGTCGGTCCTGGGGCCGGTTTTGTTCAATATCTTCATAAATGATCTGGAGGATGGTGTGGATTGCACTCTCAGCAAATTTGTGGATGATACTAAACTGGGAGGAGTGATAGATACACTGGAGGGCAGGGATGGGATACAGAGGGACTTAGACAAATTGGAGGATTGGGCCAAAAGAAATCTGATGAGGTTCAATAAGGATAAGTGCAGGGTCCTGCACTTAGGACGGAAGAACCCAATGCACAGCTACAGACTAGGGACCGAATGGCTAGGCAGCAGTTCTGCAGAAAAGGACCTAGGGGTGACAGTGGACGAGAAGCTGGACATGAGTCAGCAGTGTGCCCTTGTTGCCAAGAAGGCCAATGGCATTTTGGGATGTATAAGTAGGGGCATAGCGAGCCGATCGAGGGACGTGATCATCCCCCTCTATTCGACATTGGTGAGGCCTCATCTGGAGTACTGTGTCCAGTTTTGGGCCCCACACTACAAGAAGGATGTGGATAAATTGGAAAGAGTCCAGCGAAAGGCAACAAAAATGATTAGGGGTCTGGAACACATGACTTATGAGGAGAGGCTGAGGGAACTGGGATTGTTTAGTCTGTGGAAGAGAAGAATGAGGGGGGATTTGATAGCTGCTTTCAACTACCTGAGAGCTGATTCCAGAGAGGATGGTTCTAGACTATTCTCGGTGGTGGAAGAGGACAGGACAAGGAGTAATGGTCTCAAGTTGCAGTGGGGGAGGTTTAGGTTGGATATTAGGAAAAACTTTTTCACTAGGAGGGTGGTGAAACACTGGAATGCGTTGCCTAGGGAGGTGGTGGAATCTCCTTCCTTAGAAGTTTTTAAGGTCAGGCTTGACAAAGCCCTGGCTGGGATGATTTAATTGGGGATGGGTCCTGCTTTTGAGCAGGGGGTTGGACTAGATGACTTCCTGAGGTCCCTTCCAACCCTGATATTCTATGATTCTATGCCAGTGGCTTTCCCTGATGGGCCGCATGCCAAAGGTTGCCGATCCCTGGGCAATCATTAGTTGCATCAGAGCACTACTTGGCAGACTGGAAATAAGGAACAAATATTAAACATTGAGGGTGATTAACCACTGGATTTGGTTACCAACAGAAATGGCAGATGCTCTATCACTGGAAGTATGCAAAAATCAAGATCTTTCTAAAAGATGTGCCCTAGATTAAATACAGGCTGTTGGGCTTGTCATAAATATAAAGGGAAGGGTAACTACCTTTCTGTATACAGTGCTGTAAAATCCCTCCTGGCCAGAGGCAAAGTCCTTTTACCTGTAAAGGGTTAAGAAGCTCAGGTAACCTGGCTGGCACCTGACCCAAAATGACCAATGAGGGGACAAGATACTTTCAAATCTGGAGGCGGGGGAAAAGCTTTTGTCTGTCTGTGTGATACCTTTGCTGGGAACAGATCCAGGATGCAAGCCCTCCAACTCCTGTAAAGTTAGTAAGTAACTAGAAAATACATTAGGTTTTCTTTGTTTTGGCTTTTGAAATTCGTTGTGCTTGAGGAAATGTGTATTCCTGTTTTTGTGTCTTTTTGTAACTTAAGGTTTTGCCTAGAGAGATTCTCTGTTTTGAATTTGACTGCCTGTAAGATTATCTTCCATTCTGATCTTACAGAGTTGTTCTCTTATCTTTTTTTGTTCTTCTAATAAAGTTCTGTTTTTTAAGAATCTGATTGGGTTTTTTGGGTCTTAAAAACCCAAGGCTGGTTTGTGCTCATCTTGTTTATTCTCAAGCCTCCCCAGGAAAGGGGGTGTAAGGGCTTGGGGGAATATTTTGGGGAAATAGGAACTCCAAGTGGTCCTTTCCCTGTTCTTTGTCTAAATCATTTGGTGGTGGCAGCATATGTGTCCTTAGCAATGATGTTTGGACCTTTGGAGGATGCTTTGGTGAGAGAGAAATTTTTGCAGTTTAATTTCAGAACTTTAAAGGTCAGAAACGGAAGGCCAAAGCATGGGTGTGGGGTATGCATGGGTGGGGGGTGGGTCTTTGAATTGTAGCAGTGATAGCTACCAGATTAGCAGAGTGTCAGAGTAATATTGAAGGAAACATAGATATTCCCTCCTGAAATCAGTTTGACTAAATGACCAATGGGTCACTTTATAAATTTATTTATTTTGGTCATCTTTTACTGTTCAATGCACCTGGATTTAAATAATCTAAAGAAAGTCCCTTTTTATTTAGTTTTAAATTTTGATACTGTTCTGGCATTTTGGGATGAATAAAGTTCCTTTCAGTAACTTGAATCCAGTTGCATCAAACAGTACAAATGCTGTTTAAAAAGAAATGATCGTTATTGGTCACTAATTCAGAAGGGATTATGTACATTTCCATCTATATTATTATGGCATCCTGCTATCTGTTAGATCTTGCTGCTGAAGCTCTTCATCCACCTCTCCCCCCCCCCCCCGACTTTTAACCTTCCATTTCTGACCTTTCAAGTTGTACTAAAATAAAAAGTTTCAGATTTTCCACTGAATGCATCCGATGAATCATAGAATCATAGAATATCAGGGTTGGAAGGGACCCCTGAAGGTCATCTAGTCCAACTCCCTGCTCGAAGCAGGACCAATTCCCAGTTAAATCATCCCAGCCAGGGCTTTGTCAAGCCTGACCTTAAAAACCTCTAAGGAAGGAGATTCTACCACCTCCCTAGGTAACGTATTCCAGTGTTTCACCACCCTCTTAGTGAAAAAGTTTTTCCTAATATCCAATCTAAACCTCCCCCACTGCAACTTGAAGTGAGCAGTAGCTCACGAAAGCTTATGCTCAAATAAATTGGTTAGTTTTTAAGGTGCCACAAGTCCTCCTTTTCTTTTTACTAAAATAAAATTGTGTAATCTTGCTTTCTCTTTCTCTCTCTCTCTCTCTCTCTCTCTCTGCAAAGCATCCCCAAAGCCTCCAAAAATAATTTGACAGACAAAACTCCAATTTTCAATAATGCATCTATGGCTTAAAAAAAGGGCCAGCCTGAAGGGCATTCAAAACAACTATCTGTATGGGAACACCTGTGTGGAAAGACACTTCTGGGTGCATGTGAGTGTGCTGAGGTCTTGATAGCCTTCTACAAACAATGATTATTCACTTTGCTTCCTTGCCTAAGGGCTAACACACTCTCTTGCCCCCTGATTTCAGTGTGAGATTGTATTCATAACTGAGAGCACAATTTAGTTGTTGTAAATGCCTCTGTTTTCAACCCTGCAGAAACTGTGTTTCACAGATTTTAAGGCTAGGAGAAACCATCTAGTGTGACCTCTTGCATAACACCAGTCTTTTTAGAACTTTACACTTACTCCTGCATCAAGCCGTGCCATAAATATAAAGGGAAGGATAACCACCTTTCTGTATACAATTTTCAATTTTCTGTCGTAAAGTGGTCGCTATTAAAAAGTCAACATTTTCCAAAAGATAACAGCTACTGCAGTTTTCCCCCTCTGCTTAGAAAGGTAGATGATAACGTCAGTATGTTTTGTACCAATGTGTAGGAACTGTTGAAAAATTCTGACTTATTAACGGTGGCTATTTTATACCTATCACTGAAATCTATGGTTAGCCTCATGGGTTCTCAAAACAAGCAGCTCCTAGGTGAAAAGGGGAATATTTAGTGGGTATTCTAATGGGCATTCACCCATCGACTGCACAATTGCTGCTTGCACTTGCAGTGATACACTACATCCATCCACACTAGCCATCCTGTTTCAGGTGCAGCGCTGCTCTGCTTCTTCACTTAGCGTACCTTGCACAGTGCACCCTGTGCATGTAGATGGTTGCATTTATCGCATGAGTCCCAGCACTGTTCCCGGGGCCGACACATAGTACCTATATTATATATTAGGCTCTGATTACATTTTTTATTTTTTCCAAAAGTGGTTCTATCCTGCACAGAGATCAATGTTTCGGTTATGAGGGGCAGGGAATATCCTGCACACTCACAATACAGATACCATGGCACAGGACAACCTCATACATCTAGAGCCAGTGACCAACTGACACTGGGCATAGAAGCTTCCATGATAAAAGTCGCCTCCTTTTAGTAGCAGGGAGCTGGTATTCCAATTCCTGATATTCTAACATCTCATTTTACACGTTGTTGTGTAGTAGTTTAAATGGACACATGTACATTAAAAAAAAGTGAAAAACCCCAAATGAAATCCCTGCCAAAACAAAACAC